GGTCCTCCTCCTCCTCCTCTCCTCCTCCTCGTGTCTTCTTTTTTTTCTCTCCTCCTCCTCCTCCTCCTCCTCCTCGTCCCAATTTCATCGGTTTTCTTTCACAAGTGTCGGGATAGTGCGCTGAGAAGTGCCTCGTCTTCTTCTTCTTCTCTCCTCCTCCTCTCATCTTCTTCTTCTTTCCTCCACCTCTTCCTTTCGTCTCATCCTTCTCTCCTCCTCCTCCTCCTCCTCCTCCTCCTCCTCCTCCTTTCATCATCTTCTTCTACCTCCTTTCTGAATCTTCTTCTTCCTCCTCCTCCTTTCATCATCTTCTTCTTCGTCCAATGGCGGACGGTGGCAGCGACATTGGAGGGGGGAGTGGCGGGTCTGGAAGGACGAGAGACAAAATGGCAGCAGACAAAGGAAACGGAAAAGTTGCAAGCACCTCCACTACACCCGCATCGGCAGTGACATCCAAAGACCCCACGTCGGCAATGGACCCTTTTACCCCCTTGTCAACCGCCCCCCCCCCCAACACACATGCCTTTCACAAGTTTCTCTGCGGATTCAGGCTCCTCTCAGTGAGCGCACTCCAACCCCATCTTCAAAAAAAAAAATAAAAAAAATTCTGAGATGTTTTTTGGCTCGTCTGGTTTTGCCAGACGGACCCCCCCCAGTCCATCTGGCCCGGTCTGTCTGGACCGGGCGTCGGCTTAACACAGTTATGAAATAAATATATGTATATGTATATGTGCAAGTGTGCCGCTTCAGCGGCAGACGGTTGTCTGGGCACTTGGCACTGGACCGCACAAATGTGGCCAACCTTGCATTTTCTATTATATTGTCTATCTATACTTTTTCGTTATGGATGGTTTATTATGATGTGTGGAGAGAATGAGAGAGAGAATTTGGGGTGCTTTTTAAAACACAGACACACACACACACACACACACACACACACACACACACACACACACACACAGAGGATGAAGATGTTCAAGACATTCTTTAGTCACCTTAGCAGTGATGCAGACATTCCGGGAAGATTCTGGACACTGGACATTGACTAGCCTTCTGGAACGGAGCAGTCCCCCATGGACATCCAGACACGTGCAAAAGAAGGATGGGGAAAAAAGGGTAGGAGCATACAAAAAACAACGTGAAATCGTGAATGTCATTGATCGGTGACGGTGAAAAAACACGAGGTATTCAAAACAAGTAACGAATAAAAAACGAACATGAGATGATAATAAGCTGGGCTACCAGCCGGGCTGCCCGGGTGACCTTGTTCTCCCGGGCAGCCCGGCCGTGCAAGGGCCAAAGCAGGTCCCAGCAAAAAAATAAATACATAAAAAAAAAATCAAAAAAATCAAAAAAAGCCTATGTTATGCAGACTGAACATTTGCCTCAGGGCCACATCGAAATTCTTTACGAAATAAAAAATAAAAAATAACCACACCGAAATTCTTTACGAAATAAAAAATAAAAAATAAAGTAAAAAACATATTTTTAAAATTTTTTAAGTTTCACCCCTTTTTGGCCCGGCCGGGCCAGTAGTCACGGGCCACTCTGGTAGCCTAGATAATAAGTCAATATTTTGGCCCGGCCGGGCCAGTAGTCACGGGCCACTCTGGTAGCCTAGATAATAAGTCAACAACTATGGAGTCTGGGCCACCACCACCTTCCAGGCTCTAGTCCAAAGTGGGAGTACAACCTATACCGCATTCTTCGCAGGCCGTGATAAATTTCATCAGCGCTGTGTTCCGGCCTCCGAAACTCGCGGTGAGGGCCACACGGCCGATGTATGGGAAAGGTAACGGTGGTTAAAAAAAAAAAAAAAAGCTGGACTTCTAGTATAGGAGTGGATGCAGATATTCCGAACCTTCAACGCTGAGCACCCCCTGGATGAGATTAGTCTGTGCTCAGACATCTTTATGGGGAAGATAAGCCTACACATCGGCCACGGGCCTTATCAACGCACCGTGTTAACCAGGCTTCGGGCCTACCTGACGGCAATGACTGGTGGCGCCAGGCAAACCGAAAAAAAAGGATGCGCTGGCGATTCGACAAAGCTTGGCGTGCAGGGCGTTTTCAGCATCGGAGAGAAGTGCCTCGGAAGTACTGGTGGTTTAAAAATAAGTAATTACGCACACAGAATGGAAGGAAGCATGGGGGGTTTGACTGGAGTTTTGTACATAGTATTGGTTATCAAGTTATTAAGTTGACAGTGTTAAAGGGAATGCGGATGCACTCCTCAGAATAGAACGAAGCCACGACCATTAGGCCCTGTTTGGCGGGCGGAAAACAAGGAAGTTAGCCAAATTAGGTGTAAGGCCGATATGTATATTGTTATTATACCGAATATAATCATGTGCACCATTGCATCCACACTATCTTAAGATGGGGCAATAAACAACACCTCTATCTAATGTGGGTTGTCCTGCAGACGGGCGATCCGCAGACTTGGTCTTGTGCGCAATTGCAGACTTGGACCTTGTTCAGATCGCAGACCTGACGTCATGCACAATTGAGACTTGACCTTGTGCGCAATTGCAGGCGGCTTATGAGACCTGTCTGCGACTCCTATACATGCCTGTTCTCAGCATATGAATGGCAAGTCGGCATCCACCTCACTGCATTCAAGACAGGGGTTCTGCGAATAACGCATATGCTCAAGGCGATCACGAACCTCGTATACCAATCTTCGATTAGTGAAATGCTCATTCGGATTCTCCTTATGTATTTTGACGATGGCATGTGTCAAGGCTCCGAACGCTTCTGAGAGGACCCCGGAAGGACATGCATCGGCCGATTTCTCAAATCGCTGACATCCGGTAATCAGCACTCCAAGGGACTTAGGAGTTTCTAGTTCTGGCTCATCAACCTTGGAGGCGGGTCCCTGGTCTCGCTGGCACACCGTGGTTGTGGTTGTGGTGCTTTCTGGAGGCTTCTGCTGTACTGCTGGCTGTGCCATCTTCCCTGCACTTGTGGACAGAGAGAGCTTCGGGGAGGTGGCGATCTTCTGCACATCTTCCTTGTACTTGTGCACCATGTGGCTCGCATTGCTTCCAAACAACTCCTCCAGAGCCGGCCGGATTTTGGCAGCATCCACTATGTGACCTAGTGTCTCGCTCAGTCCGTTGAGCAAAGAAGTTAGTCCCAGAAACCGAGGAATGACATGCAGGCCGTCATCATCATCATCTGCTTCTGCCAGCATTATGTTCTCCATCTCCTTCGTCAATGCCTCGGCGGTTATCACAGCACTCGGTCTTGTTGTCACCCTTGAGGTTCCCTTCTTTGCAGCTCCTGTCCGTTGAACTGAGTCTTTGCCTGCTCCTGCCTCTGGACCTGTCATTGCCTTATCCACAAGTACCCACTGTTCTGACTCCAGAGTTGCGGCACTATCTGGCGCGGATACAGATATCGCGGTTGCTGTTGAAGGGGCATTGCTTTTCGCATCATCAACAACTGGCGGCAACACTTGGTGTTCATCCTTAGCAGCGGTGCTCGTACGCTGTCCGGACATTTCTGCACCCTGGCTGGATGCAATTCTACTCTCTTTGGCCACTGGGGCCGAGCCCTTCTGCCCCCCAACGGGTGGGGCCGCCACATCCTCTTTAGGTGGTGCGATTGCCGCAAAGATGATGCCGGCCGTTCCTGTTCCTTCAGGATCTCGTCCTCCTGCACTCAAACTTGCAACACTTACAGTTACAGCACCATCCGATATTGTAAGATCTCGATGTCTCGGTTTGACAGGGTTCCCAGTCTTTCCCGGCTGCCAAGGCTCTTTTGGTGATGTTTGAGGGGCTGAGGCTGCACGTTTCAAGGAACGGATCAAGGTGTTGTCGTCATCGTACTCCTTCTCGCCTTTTATTGGAACTTCAATGCCGTCTAGGAGACCACCACTGTTACAGCAGTCAGCAGTCATTGTGAACCTCACACCAGGGTGACACAAGCTGACGATGAGTCGCAGGTCGTCATCCTGAATAAAAAAAAGCCACCGCCAACCAAGGTTCATTCAGGAAAGAGTCAACAACGAACTACAATGCCAGAACACCAAATTGACCAATTCAAAATTTGGATGCGGCTGAAAGTTGAACTTGATTCATATAAAGTAGTGTTAGCAGAGAATAGGCACGGGGTAGAATTAGGGTTATCAACATGATTCGTGAATGAACATTGCAAGTGCACAACACAACACAACAAGGCCCGCAATGGCTGCAGGTTATGCAGTGTGAGCAGAGGCCATAGGATTAGGACCACCATCAACATGATCTGTGAAATAAATTTACAAGTGCACAACACAACACAAGGCCATCAATGGCTGCAGGTTATGCAGCGCGAGCAGATGTCAGTTGAGCTACTACCTCTTAAACAAATCACGAACAGCTAGCAGAGGATACACACGGGATCCGAACCGGATCGCCATCAGCATTGCTTTCTTTCTGCAAATGAACGGGTGAACTGCTGTGAGCAGAGGGCCGCAAATCTACCTTATTATTTTATCATTTTAAAGAAAGGAGCAACAGGCGAAGGCAGTACACATTCGGAACCCGAGCGGATGCCATCAGATTCTTGCTTTGGTGATCAAACCATTGGGCCTCGCCGCATGGCACACGAAAGCAAAAAGAAAACGAGTGCATCTTCCCACAGGAGTTTGTGAAATACATTCATTTCTATTTATAGTGAATCATTCCGCTTTCTGTGGAAAGATGCACTCATTTCGTTTTTCGCTTTGTGTGGCGTGCAGCAAGGCCCATTGCCTAAATGATGGAGGTGAGGCCAACACAACCCCTGACAGCCCCAAAACCACCTGACCTGCCTGACCCTGATTTACTGACACTTACTGCAGTATTCCCCACCAGTAATAACACATTCCATTTCTGGATAATTTTCTTTTTCTCTTCTTTCTTCTGGATAATTTTTACAAACGATATACGAAATATTTTTCAATATAAAAGACTCAATGCACAAGTCATGTGGGTCCTGCTTGAGACCATACTCACACGAGCACTTTCCTAAATGTATCTGACTGCCATTACGGCAAGACCTCGATGTATCTGCCCCTAATCACGTCCACAGCTCAGTTGAAATAGTCCTAGACTAAGTGCGAGTATCCCCTCGTTCGTTTGCGCTCGCCTTCTGATGATCTTGCATGGCAGAATCAGTCTCTCATTTACAGGTCCTCCGCTCGCAAAACAACGCCAACCCAGCTGTCTGAGAAAACATTTTTATACCACAACTACATCTTAGGACTTCCCGTTGTCCCGCAGGGAATTAGGTCGTGTCCCCTCTACTCTAGAAAATATTTCACGTGTAGATGTTCCATATGGGCTGCAATAAGTGATCTAGTCTGTCTTGTTAGCCAAAGATTAACGCATTGAGCTACCTACAGATACTATGCTGCTTAAACCCCTCTCCAATTTACAAGAGGTTAATAATAGGAAACAAACGCACACAGAGAGAGAGAGAGAGAGAGAGAGAGAGAGAGAGAGAGAGAGAGAGAGAGAGAGAGAGAGAGAGGGAACAGGTAACTCTCCAACCTCGCGCCTGGCCTCATGCAACTTTTATCGATAGGATGAGCAAAATTGAATGAATCCACTGCTAGAACATGGAAATATACACTGTCGCACTTGCGTGAGTGTGTGTGTGTGTGTGTGTGTGTGTGTGTGTGTGTGAGAGAGAGAGAGAGAGAGAGAGAGAGAGAGCTCGGACTGCAGGTGGTTACAAGTGTAAACCAGCCTAGTCATGAGTTTGGCCATGAACTCCTTGTGCTGCTCCTCTGGTGTCGCGTCGTCGCCGTTGGACGGTTGAAAGTGCCAGAACTTGAGTATTTCGATGCTGGCGGCCTGTAGCCACTGCTTCTCAGCTGTTGTCGCTGCCTCAGCCTGTAGGCGGGCAGCCTCTGCTGCCAGCTGGCGCTGTTCCTCAGCCTCGATCATTGCGAGCTGAGTCTGGAACCGCTGTTTGTAGTCGGCAATAGACTCGTTGGCCAGTTGGCCTGGCATGCCCAGAGCTGCGCCTGTCATCGTGGCACTGTGACGTGGCACTGCTGACGTAGCACTGTTGTTGACGTGGCACTGCTGGCGTGGCACTGCTGCTGACACGGCACTGTTGTTGACGTGGCATTGTTGCTAACATGGCACTGCTGACGTCGCACTGTTGCTGACATGGCACTGCTGACGTGGCACTGTACCAACCCGGAAATGCATGCAAAGGGTGGGTGGGGAGGGAAAACGCAGGTAGGGAACCAACCCAACAATACTTTCCTCCTGGCCCTAATCAACAGATAAATAATAAATTAAAAAAAATAAAAGAGGACTACTTCCCTTTTTTTTTTTCTTTTTTTTTTTTGTATATCTGTCGATCTATTATGAGTGAGACATGTCAGAAGAGTACTATGAACGAGCTCTAGGCTAGGTTCCGCAAAGTTTCGGCTTTCACAAAATGCGATCTTGAAAAAAAAAATTTGCTAGATAGAATAGAGATGCAATTTTCAAAAAAGAACTAGATCCCGTTTCTGGGAATATGGCAACCTCCGAATATGCCTATCGAAATGTTGGTAGGCTTCACAAGATTTCGGTTTTCAAAAAAAAAATTGCGAGATAGAATGGAAATTCGATTTTCAGAAAAGAATAATTCCAGTTTCGCAGAATACGACCACTTCTATCGTTATCCCAAGATGCCTAGAGAACGAAATACTAACAGCAGAAATTTTCAGCTATGTATGCAAAATATCAGAGAAACGAAATGCTACTATCAGGAATTTTCAGACAAAACGAACTGCGATTTATCAGAAATTTTCAGATATTTGTTACGTGAAAACG